TAAAGCCATTGGTAGTTGCGATGAGATGTCATTAATTCCATACAAGCATCAACTCTATGTTGGAGCTGATGTGGTGATAAATCATGTGGTATCCAAACTCTATATTTCCACATTTTGCTTCATTCGTGCAGAGATGTTTCCATTGTAGTATGAGAGCACCCACGACGCTCTGCTAAACACCGCGTAGTCAATCTAGGATCTTCTTGGATAAGCTCCTTTAGAAGATCCATATCCACCTCTAGAGGTCTTCCAGTATGAGGTAAATCATCGAGTTCGAAGTTACCGTTCTTGAACTGATCGAAGCAACCTTGCGCTGTACGAAACGGAGAGCACATCCTTGCCCATCGTATGGCATATGTTGCTTGTTGCTTCTGTTGTTTTGTGACCCAGACGAAATTCATGAAGCAGAAGCACTCGGAATTCTCTACGAGATATCTTTATTTCTAATTCTAGATCAGCATTTATTTCCATAGTTTTATTGTTGTTCGAAAGAAATTCACACTCTCTTTATATACTCTTACTGTAAAAATTTCTAGAACCTTCTTGACTGTTCTAGGAAGTTACGAAAAAAAAACGACAAAAATTTCTTGCCAACCCAATATTTGAAATGGGGTTTAAAAAGTATGTTAACTTTAAGATTTAAAATTTGTGAAATTTGATGCCCTCTAGGATCAAAATTGAAATTTCAAGTTCAAGGTGGTCAATATCAAACACGTTTTTTTTAATGAAACATAGCGCACAAATGACTGCAGCGATCTGTATAATTTTTAATTGTTTGCGCAAAAATATCTGGATCAGGAAAAGCGACATAATAAAAAGATCTAAACTTTTGTCGTCTGGAGCAAAGTTGAAATTAAGTTTAAGAATCCATTTTTACGTCAATAAAAGTTCTATTGTGTGGGTCTTGTAGCCCGTGTTGAGATCTATCTAAATCTCACTTTAAAACGTTTACAAAGTTTTCTTTGAAGGCGAGAAAATAAGGAATAAAAAAGGGGCTAAACTTTTGTCCGCTACTTTAAATACGAAGTTTGATTTTGTACAAGACAAATTGGCTGCTAGTAGAAGTGGATCACAAGAAAGTCTTCTGCTCTAGAACACATAGCACAATTGAAAACCTAAGCAGAACGCAGCTTATCTGTGTGAAACTAATCCTGATAAAATCTTCGAGCTTTGAAAGTTGAATCAACCTTGTTTCGCGGGATCGTTCCTTATGGTGCTAATTCTGTATTGTACTGGAGCTCCCGTGAATCCATATTGATATGGAGGATGATTTATATCTTGCTGCGAATACGCGTTTACACTGTTTCGAACATTTTGAGTAGAAATTAAAAAATTTCAGGTGAGTTCAGAAAAGAAAATTCTAATAGAATGTGATTTTGTACTAGGTTTTCGATGCATTCGCGCAGTAATTCATATTTTTCTGATATGGCCAACCTTGGTTTATAATTCTGACGCGTGCATCTTGTAGCCCGAATCAAGAGTTATCGATCTGAACACGGACGAATTTCTGAGGTGATCAAAAATAGGAAGAAAACTATCGAAATTTGTTTTCAATTGCCTGTAACGACGATATAGCGAGAACAAATACGAGTAAGAGAACTACTACTATTTCTTTATGAAAGATCGCGCCAGTCTTATGCAGTTGGAGCTTATCTTTAATTTAGTGAATACCAACTCTGATTATCCCTTGAAAGGTAATGGTCTTCTCGCAAAAAACTCATGTTTGAATGTGGGAACAAATAACACAGCTAGTTGGCAAAGTATTCCCTGCGGTGTTGCTAAAAAATCCAATCGTTTCGAAACTCCAACACGTTAGAAAGAATCAGAAGAAAATTCTCTATCAAGTGGGGTATTCAACACCGACATCGGAGGATTGGCCCAAGATGCGTTGTTATGTGCCTCCGCCTTTGCAGTATACTTTTTTCTCATTTTTGAAACTAGACTAGGTAGAGCTTGACAAGGCGATTAAAAATATGTGAGTTTAATTTGTTTTGGAGTTACTTTTACGAGGAAAATGTTCCGTTTTTTCCACATACTCATTCTTTGTGAAAAACACAAAAAATTCTCGAAAATTGTGCAGTTCCACCGAGTTCCACCGTTTTATCCTATTTTTAAAATTATGAAACCATGTTTTACAGGTTCTCATGAAAGAGGCATCTAGAAAATGTATTTCGAAATACATTTTCTAGATGCCGTTTTCATGGGAACCTGAAAAACATGGTTTTGGAATTTAAAAAAGGATAAAATGAAGGAACTGCGCAATTTTCGAGAATTTTGTGTTTTTCACAAAGAATGGTTATGTGGAAAAAACGGAAAATTTTCCTTGTAAAAGTCACTCCAAAAAAAATTAAAATATAATATATGTAAGTTAATGAACGACTTAATATTGAAATATAAAACTTTTTATTTTAACAGCAGCGAAGATTTTTTTTTTCTTCTGTAATTGACAGTGTCAGTCAAGAAAGACTATCGAAAATGACAGAATCCACTTTTGCAGAAAAACTGCAAAAGTGAATTTTGTATAGACTATCTTTTATGATGGAACTAATTGATATTGCGCAATTAGTTTTTCTGCAAAAGTAAATTGTCATTTTCGATGGTCTTTCTTCGCTGACATTGTCAATTACAAATATTTTCGCTGCTGTCAAAATAAAAGAGTTTTATATTTCAGTATTAAGTCGTTCATTTACTAATACATATTATATGTCAAAATAACTATGGCAGCATGTATGGACGCATTTCGACACTAAGTAAAGGATTATTTTCGATCTATCTCGTATAGATTGAAGATAAAAAGAAATGAATGTATAATGATGTCATCGTATAGTAAAATCAATAGTTCGCTAGTTATAAACAGCCTATATGTATATTATACGAAGAACGAAAAACATTCAATGGTCGTGGTATATACGTCACTATGTAATAGTGCCAATGTAATTGCACAATATCAGTTAGTTCCATCATAAAAGATAGTTTATACAGAATTCACTTTTGCAGAAAAACTGCAAAAGTGAATTCTGTCATATTCGATAGTCTTTCTAGACTGACATTGTCAATTACAGAAAAAAAATCTTCGCTGCTGTTGAAATAAAAAGTTTTATATTTCAAAAAAAATTAAACTCACATATTCTTAATCGCATTGTCAAGCTCTGTCTAGCCTTGTTTCGTAAAACGAGAAAAAGTTTAATGCAATTTTGAATGAGCTGCACCTTAAGAAAACTTTCGAAACAGCGACTGTTTACCGTATACGGCAGATAAATTTGACATTTAAAAAACTTAACTGTATTGATTTTACATTGATATAAAATCGAAAATAAAAATCACTTTCTGATTCAGTATGATTTTGTGTTTGTTTGTATCACGTGATTTATTATAAAACCCAGCTCCAGCAGAGGGAGAGGGGTGGGCAGGTTCACCCAGCGGTGCTGACTGTCCAGTTCAGAATCCCTTCGCTAACAGCAACCAAAGAGAAACATTGAGAAAGACAAAGCAGTAATGACTAAAACACACTAAAAGTGGATGTCCAAACCGTCAGTCCGGAGTAGGCATGCACCAAATCCAAAACCAGTCAAACCCAAATCCAATTCTTTGTTTGGATTTGACTGGATTAGGATTTGGTGCATTCCTAGCCCGGAGGCTTATGGCAAAGACGAATCATTTCATCACTCATGTCCTTCAACCATCCTTTATAGTTCCGTATAATGCCCGCTGGCGGATCCCGTTTTTTTTCTTCCTTCTGAACGTCATGCTTTCAGCCATCTTATGCGTTCTTCAATTCATGCAACCTATTTTCAGTATGATTACTTGCCTTTATCTAGGTCTTTCTTTCCTGAGATCAATGGTACATCGGCCAAACTCAGGGGAGCCTTATGAGAACCCTACTAACGGTTAAGCTTGGCCTTTGACAGATAAAAAGAACACAACTCTTTTCTATTGAATGGTTTTATCACAGCTGAAAACCCGAAGAGATTTCTTTAGGATCTCGTTTTCAATGTGTCAAACAGCTCTGCTTCGTATTGGTCGATTGTCGACCGTTCAAATTTTTGTTTCGTTGTATTTCTCTTTGGAATGTTGAAAATCTTAGGCCTCTATTTGCTTTCACTCTGGAATTATTCAAATTACAATTGATTGAATTCATTTTTGGAATTATATGAATCATGTTGAAAAGTGTGAAATTCTTGTCGAGTGGATTTCCATTGAATCATCTCAGATTTTAGCAGCTTCTCTTTCACTTAACATTTGATAGATTCAACACGGCGCCAACGACACTAATGAGCCCAATAGTGAAAGTGCCTCAACGGCGATCGAGCCTCATTCGAATTCCGATGTCAGATCCTGATGGAGATCCAGTTGGATGTCGTTGGGGTACAAATGCGGTTGAGTGTGGGAGCGTTTGTGCTAAGAAGGGAGAACTTCAAACGTTTCCTTGTGAACTCAATTATACAGCTGGTGCCAGAGAAGGTTATGATGCAATTGCTGTAATTATCGAGGACTTGGATGAAACTAATTCACCAATGTCCTATGTTGGCCTTCAGTTTCTCATCCAAGTTGTCAGGGATTCGGCTGAATGTGGCATTATTCCGGTCTACATCGGAGATAGAAGTCCAGATGAATGTGTGGCTCTCCATTCGAATGAACATGTCCGAGAACGGGTTGTGTTTCAAGTTGGATGCAGTGGAATGACGATTACTAATGTGTTTGCAGATAATCAACTACCTGGTCTTACGAAAGATCCTGTTATACGTGATCCACAAAATCCTTACCAATTCATTACCTATCTCAATTGGACGGCCTCTGTGAGTGGAGTTCATCTTCTTTGCTTGACGGCCATCGATTCAGTCAATCAATCGAGTATTCCAGCTTGTTGGTCCTATCAAATAGGCACGCAAGGACCTGAATTTCTAGTTGATACCAAGAATCCACCGATTGGACAACAAATTATCAGCTCTCGACGTCTATGGCACATTGATGCGTCGAAACCGATTGTTCGACCGAAGAAACATCAAGCGTTCATTCGATTTGTTCGCAGAATAGATAGATATGAAGTGGAACGAATCAATGTTGGCACCTCCATCGATGCAGTTCAATATCGAGGCCATCGACTCACTTTCTTTTCTACTCACAAGTGGAATCAGGTAGAGGAGCTCATTTCTCATTCTATAGCATATTTTAAGGCAGCCCCTCTCCCCCTCCAAAAAGTATATTTTTCGAAAATATTTCAAAATTGGGTTTTTATTAGAGGATGATGTACTGAACTCTCCTCTTTCAGTGGATGTCTGTCGTTTTAGGACATGAGTGGTTTTTGGCCATTCTGAATCAATTTTTTTGTAGCTACCCAGTATTTTTTTGAGATTTTCTGGAGACCCTTCTCGATTTTAGAATTTTTCGAGAAAACCAATACCACCCTCGTGTTCAGCGTGTCAAGTTACCATACTACTCACATTTTCAATAAAACTTGATCCCTAGAATGCGTTACAAAACATTTTTGTCCAATAGTGACAGCTATTTAAATACTTGTCTCAGCAATTGAAAATCTTATATCTACTTTACCTGATGACCGAAAATTCTAAAATTTTGGGTATTCATGTTTCTCTCCATGCTTGATGTGATGGCAATGCCAGATTTCTAGAAAACCTCTAGAATTTTTTTTTCTCCAAAAATGCCTCAAAATTAATTTTCATTTTGTTTATCAATTTTCTCAAAACAGATTTTGGTGCTAAATGTCGACAGCAGAACAATTTTATTTCAATATACTTCATCCTAGAGAGCTGCAATTTTTTTTACTCGATACATACGTGTGTAGTGCTTTAGATAAGGGAAAGGGATTTTTTTATTTAATCGTCAATCTGAGAGAAATCCAGTGATTTTCAGAAGCGTTGAGGTTGGATTTTGAGACTTTTTGGGTTTTTAACGTCCCTAAATTAAACAAAGGAAAATTTTAAAAATACCTTTCCCTTAGTCGAGGTGGTAAATAGTTCTCCTTCAAATAAAACAATCGCCGATTCAGTCTGTTGAAGTATAGTAAAAAAAACTGTGTACTGCCGGAAAGTCCATTTTGGGCCTTGATCTCTAGAAAACTCCTGAACGCTGAGGTTTAGAGAAGTAAAAAAAATTCGTAGCTTTATTTTGATGCGCCCAACACTTGTGGAAAGTTTCATGGAAGTCCGATGCACTGTAACGAAAATCGATTTTGGAGCGGGCGGGAGGCGGCCTTAACAATAGAAACCAGGACTCTGAGGCATTCTTTTGTTGCTTACAAGATGATCGCGTCCGGATCTCAGAGTTGTTGAATAGGATTATGGTCAACAAGTTTTGAAAATACTTGAACATTGTTTTCATTTAGAGTGAGGAATATTCGATACTCTTCGATGCGGGTGCCATTGCCAGTAATGATACCTGTCAGACACCGTCACTACCTCAAACAGACCTATTGTTTTGGCCATACATCGTGTATCCATCTTGTGCCAACTTCTGTTTATCTCATCAAGATATAGCCAATTGCAACTCGAATATATGTCAATGTTTCTCACCTCTTGGCATCTGTGAACGGTCTGCCATTGTACATTCACTGGTTCCTAAATCGACATTTGCGTCTGCTACTAACACTCGTGTGACAATCTTTGGAAACAATTTTGATTTACATGCATCCGATTACTTAAAATGCATAGTCGATGGAAATCATACGACACAACTTTATCCAGCAGTGTACATCAGTAAAACCGAAATACAATGTTCGTTGACAAGCCATCGTGTTGGACAGTTTCGTTTGCAACTGTTAGCAAATGAAAGTACAATCGGTGAGCTAGACTTTGAATACAGATCCGATTGTCCATCGGAAGGATGTCTGCATGGAACGTGTATGTTGGGATTATGCCGATGTCGTTCTCCATATTTTGGTGTTAATTGTTCGTTTATTCCTTTGCCACCAGTGCTGCGAACAATTGAGAATCAGACTGCCGTAGAAGGATTGCCGTTCGAACTCAGTATCAGTGAATATCTGGAACAGGGCGATAGATCATTAACCTGGAATGTGAATTCGGGTCAGTCAGGTGTTCGATTACGAATAATAAATGAATCAGATGTTTCACTCCACTGGTCAAAAGCAATTGCTCGTCGAGAACCCTATCCAATTGTTGTTGTTGTCAGACAAACCGAGACCGGCATTCAAATTCAGAAAACATTTTTGTTGACAGTTCCCATTGCCTACAATGTTGCAGTGACCTTCGACAATGGATTATCAAATCAGACCGTCATCCGACGAAATCCACTTCCAATCCAAGGTTTCATTAGTATCATCGATCCTCACTATCAGTTTTCCAATACGAGTGCTATTCTCGTTTGGGTAGCAATCGATGGGAATCGGCGCTACTTACCCCCAATCTATGTAGATCATAGCAGACAATTTCGGACCGAAATTTCACCGTTGAGCGAGGAATATGGAACATTGTTCCTAGGAGCGAGTCACCCATTTTTTCGAAATCAAGATCAATATCAAGACAGTTTGACACTTCTAGGAATGAAGATGCTGATCATTGCATCAATGCCATTGAATGTGCGTGCAAATGCATTGTCCCAATTTAAGGCCGTTGCATTGCTTCAAAATCCAGTAGACATGCAATTCAATAACTTTAAAGTTGTCCTTATTACCCCAAATAGCACATATGGTCATTTCAATGTGTTGAGATTGAATTGCTCGCAGAACGATGAGACAGTTTGGTATAATATTACATTGAACACCACGGATACAATCACCGTTCGTTCCAACAGTAAGTGTACGGCCGATTTCTCGATCATGGCCAATCAATACTATGAAGGCCCACTGATTTTTCGTTTTCTTGCCGACGGTCCAATCTCTCATCATCTACATTTGTCTGTAAGCGTGAAAGTCGATCGACCACAATATTCTCTCGAGCCATCTTTCTTTCAAATTATCGCTGCCAGAGAAGCTCCGAAACAGTTCTTCATGACCACTGTACTCAATCGAGGGTCGCAATCATCAACGATGCTCAGGGTCTATTTGCCATCCGGACAAGATTTTCTGCATGTACTCACACCGCAAATTTCTACAATCGAACCAGGCCACAATGCAACAGTTACATTTGCCGTCAGTGCGCCCGCATCGAGTCCCATTCAATCTTACAATATTCGTTGTGCAATTGTCGATGAAATTGCTCAAGTGTCTGTTGGCATTTCGATTCATTTGATCATCGTCGGAAGCAATACGACTACAGCTCGAATAAAATTTCTTATCGAAGATGAATTCACATACTTTGCTGCTAATCATCCTCTTGTCGCAAATGCATCGCTCACTATTACCAATCCGAATATGAACTTTCACATTCAACTATTCGGCAATTCATCAGGTCGAATTGAAGCATTACTCGTGCCAGCTGTTTACGAAGTGCGTGTTCAAGCGTCGAAACATAGATCAGTTTCCAGGATGATTACAATCGATTTATCGAGTGATGGAACTGAGTGGCCGATTTTCTTACAACGTCAACTAGTCTCCTATCAATGGACTGTGACGCCGACCGAAGTTGAACAAGAGTATACATTCACGCTTGAGGCCATTTTCGAAACCCATGTTCCTGCCCCAGTCGTCACCATGACACCTAGTGTACTCTCTCTAGACGATATGGAAAATGGTCTTCTTGATCGAGTCGATCTTCTTCTAACCAATCATGGTTACATTCGAGCGGATAACATTCAAATTCGACTTCCCAACTCACATCCATTTCTCAAATTTCGCATCCTTCAACAGCCAATCGGAAATATTGAAGCAAACTCATCTATTCTCGTCACATTAGTTATCGAGCGCTTTGTGTTAGCACATCAACGAATGGCATTATCCCAGAAAACCGCCACTGTTTGTTTTCGAGCATTTATGACATATGAATATGATTGCAATGGTGTGAAAACAGTAAGCGTTCCTGTGCCGGTATTTCAAGCTTCGTTATCTATTATGGTCTGCGTGGGTATTGGTGATGTTTCAGGTGGCGGAGGAATAGCAACGGGTGACATAGACATCACGGCGTCCCTGCAAATGAGCTTACCGTGCGAATGGAATCCTGACAGGAGATGCGCTGAAGCTGTGTTCAAATGTGCATGTAGTCTTATCAGTACACTGATGCCATGGACGAGAGTTCAAGTGCCGGTCGAACTCGAATGCCTGGCCTACTTTCTACCGGGAATGTATGGTTGTGGTATGTTTCGATTAGTTCTTCAACAATTTTTTTTAGCAATCATGTAACATTTTTCTTCTAATCTCTTGGATACGGCTGTCTTCAGACTGAAAACAAGCAGAACGCTAGAGAGGTTGCATTTCCGATTTGTCTGACAAGTTTGACAGAAAACAAGAATTTGCCGTATCCAGGAGGTTAAGAACGTCCTCTGATAAAAAGCTGCATGTAAATTTTTATTGCATCAACTCACAACAAGTATCATATATAGGGAACTTAGCTAAACAGGTTTTAGCTAGAAATTAACTGACAAAAATATCGGCTGAAATTTCTCTTATAAGCTAGAGCTGGTATACCTAATTTCGCCAGAAAAACGATAGGTCACAGCGTTTCCTTTATAATTCAGCTTATTGACATCTTAGAAAGCTGAATTTTTTTTCCGAAATAGAGCAAACATTTCTGCATTGATCTATGTGTCACTCATTGAAAAATAATAAGCCGTTCTTTTTAGACAATCGTTTCAAAAGAAGCGCCGAAAATTTTCTTTCTTTTCTGTGTATTTCTAATTTCACCATGTAATGTATTTTTTTTCCTAATTCTGCCATTACAACACTTTTACATAGAACGTCTCAAAACAAAAACGATTTAGTCGAGAAAATATATTCTAATTAAAATAAAAAATATACCATTCGATTCGTCTTGTCAAGACGTATTGACTCATGTTGGTTTCAGATGAACTAGTGACAACTTCTCGATCTTTTTTTTTACATTCAGAAAAAAATAAACATGGCGGAATTAGGAACAGGATTTAATTCCGCCACTCAATGTATTCTTTTTTCTTAATTTCAGCACTTAATGTAAATATTTTTCTTAATTCTACCATTCAAGAAAAATGCATGGATGATCAGAAAAATGGTCACTGCTACCCTTAGTGACCCATGATTATAACTCTCATATCAATATGTAGCAATGAGCATGAGTTATATGACCATGTCACAGTCATTATATAATGACTATGACATGGTCAGATAGCTATAAACAAAATATATATTTAAAATCAGCATAAGAAACTGAATCGATCTGTGTATATTAAGAGGATTTTCCGATGTACTTTCATTTCTTTTCGAATATTTTCACCCTGGTTCTCCTCTGGGATAAGCCGAAAAATATATTCTACCAAAACATCGTTTTTATTATTTATCGAAAAGTCATTTCT